AGTTGCTGCTGCAGAACTGCTGGGAAAGGCTGCAGCAGCAGGTGAGGAAAATGAAGAGGAAGATGTTTAGTAGTTTTTCCATTTTGATATTGATAAAAAGTTAATTTTGTTTGCTTTTAATTGTGAACCATTTTCTGTTTTTATACTTGGAGCGGCCAACAAAAATGAAAAATGATCATCATGTTTTGAAAAGCATCTCAAGGTGATCTTGCTTAGTGTGCTCTCTTTTAATAATATGTGTAATCTTTTACTGTTTTTTTGTCAATCTTTCAATGCTTTACTTTTGCTCTACTTTTTGATTCAGGTATGCGTTTTGAAATTAGAAAAACTTTGCATTTTAATTGCAAAATTGTTCATTTGCAGGCAAAAAGTAAACTCTTTGGCAACAAACAAAAAAATAAAAAACCTTTAATGTCCTGAATGTCCTTTATTTTAGCTAATTGTCATTTATTGATTCACCGAAAAAAGCCCAAAAGTTAAAACAAAAGTTAAACAATGGTAAAATTGAAACTGTCAAACAGCACTAGTAGTAGATCTAAGCTCAAAACTCATTGGCGCTCTTCCTCGAGCCGACCACCTTCTTCTTCAGACTCTTCTTTGAGCTCTCCTTTTCCTTCTTCTTCTCCTTACCATCCTGATTAACCTCATTATTATCTGGTGGCAGGACGTTCTCCGCAAACTCATCCACCAGATTACCGCCCGGACTGTAGACGGCCACCACGAAGATCTCCCCACTTTCGTCGCTCCTGCCGCAGCCCACGCCAATGTAGCTGCTGTTCTTCCAGACCATCTGCGTAAAGTTCTCTATCTCGCCGATGATCCAGGAGCTCGGCTCGGTGCCGTAGAGGTGATTCTCGCGGTAGACCCGCTCGCCGCGGTCGTACTCCTCGGTGACGATGGCCTCGCCCGTTTGGGCTTCGGTCGGCGGGACGCGGCGGAAGACGAAGTTAAAGTCCGGGCCGGGCCATGAGTGTTCAGGAGTGTAGCCGGTGTTTTCTGAAAAGCGGGGAATTTTTAGTCATTTTTTGGACTTAAAATGTTGTCATATTTTGTTGCCATTTTGTTACCATATTCGCGCCAGTAGTCGGCCAGCTGCTGCGCCCACTCCGCCAGCGGCTCGTAGTCTGTGAGCAGCTCCGGCACGTGATGCAGCTGGCGGTAGTAGGCGTTTTTCTCGATGAAGCCCGTCTTGATGCTTTCATCGCAGGGCTGCTGACCGCTGACGATGCCATTGAAGGCAAAAGTGGCCACCAGCAAAAAGAGGCAGGAAAAGTTGCGAAAAGAGTGCTCCATTTTTCGGTTTAGTCGCTTCTTTTCGTCACTTGTTTGGTCCGGGTGGTTTGTTTGGGTTGTAGTGAAATGGCTCAACTTGGGGACACTTTAAATACTGTTTTCAAAACAGGTAAAAAAGCAGAAGGCATTTTTGTTTTCCTAATTGCCGGCCATCTAAATTAGGTGTGAGTTTTATTTTGTGTAAAAGAAAAAGGATCATTTGGCCACTGGGCGATTGACCTAGATTGCTGCAGCGTACAATGGACCATGTTAAGCTACTGATGATGATGACAGCTAGCTAGTTAGTTTGTTTGTTGGTGTGTGTGTGTGTTTGCTACCTGAAGCTAAGTGGCAGGCTGTGTCACCACTTCAACCTCTTTAGTCACAATGGCCAACTCCTCTTCCACCTTTTCAGTCACAATGGCCAACTCCTCCTCCTCCTCCTCCTCCTCAGTCTTTGCCTCAGTCTCATCCTCTCCAAGATCATCAAATGATGAGGGTGGCAAAACGTTGCTTGCATACTGCCCCAGCAGGTCGCCCCTCGGCTGGAAGGTGATCACCATCTGACGCCAGTAATCGAAGGCATCGTCGGCGCAGGCGACTCCAATCACCTGACTGCGCCTCCAAACGAGCTGCGTGAAGGCGTAGTACTCGGCGAAGCGGCCTTCCGGTGGCTCCTCGCCGTACCACCGGTAAACCGCTTTGACTGGTTGTAGACATTCCCTCGACGATCGCCTCGGCCAGGCTTTTTTTTGCCTAAGGATCCTAAGGAGGAGTTTTCGGTCGGATAAAAGGTGGTGACCGCTACAAAGTTGAGGCTACGGTTGAGGGGCGGGGGGCTGGTAGGGGACCAGGCGGGCGAGGTAGTCGGCCCAGGCCTGGGAGTACGCCTCCAGGGGTCCTCCACCCCCCGCTTCTTCCAGGGCCAATCGATTGGCTCGGTGGCGCCGTCGCTTGCTGGCCATTGGACCGAGGAGCGCCCTCTTCAGCCGCGG